CGCCCCGGCCCGGGGCCGCCGCGGCCCAGCCGAGCCGGTGCGTCCTCGCCTGACAGAGTTCGCCGTGAAGCTGCGCTGCGGGCCCGTGGGCGGCAGCGGGGGCTGGAGGAAGCGGCTGCCGGAGCTGCCTCGCCTCCTCCGCGGCTGGCGACAGCGAACGCGGCGAAGGTTTTAAAGCGGCTGTCGTCGGTAACGTGCAGAGGGAGAGGAGCCCTCCCCCGAAACTCGGCTGTCCCCGGAGCTCTCCGCTCCCCTCGAAGCACGCTGCGGGTCGCTCGTCCGAAGGGATGGGACCCAGGTCCTTCCAGGCCCTGCGGAGCCTGTAACCGAAGTAATCTGCTCACACCGACAGGGTTACATATCCACAGCAAGGCAGCGCGGTCTGGGTGAATATAAGCGACGCAAAACCATCCTATTCCGCTGAGAACGGACAAAGTCTCACGCGTTTACAACAGGCAGCGAGACGACAAAGTTAACTGGGTGCTTCATGAGCAGAATAGCAAAACAACGAAAGACGCCCTTGTTCAGGTGACGAACTGCTAAAATGAACCGGCTCTACCTCATGGATTTCCTGAACTTTTGTTTTCCTGCTTGCAGGTGCTGGCACCCTCCCCCAGAAAACCAGTACCAGCTCCTCTGTTGGTGGCACAGCTTCCCTCTTCCAAGGAGCAAAGCCCCAACGGTGCTGCCGCACTGCTCTGACACGGGTGCTGCAGCCCGCTGAACAGCAGCTTAATTCAGCTACAGATACCAACAACAGAAAACTCTGTGACAGCACCTTTCCTTAAACTACACAAATGAGGGCTGTGCTACAGGGCACAGTTTAATCCTCCAAGGCAAAAATGAGGTCTTGCTGCATTTCACTGTAAACAGAAAAATGTCCCTTACGTGCTTTAAAAAAATTGCACCTTTGCATTCTGTGGCTGTATCACAAGAGAGACACCAGACGTGCAGTCTATGGGTGTTTACAACAGAAACTCTTTGATCGCTAAATTAAATATCGATTGGTAAAATCAACATCACAAAACAATAACATACGTTATTGTACCCCGTTTCCCATGAAAGGGATGCAGTTCCCAAGTAAAATTTGTATTTAAGGGGTTTCCATCCAACATTAAGGTCTAACTGTGCTTACGACACACACACGGACTCAAAAGCACTGGCTGGCATGCCCTCCAGGGCGAGTTGCGGTATGTGCAATTCAGTTATAAAAACAGGGACTCAGTTATTCTGTCATCGATGGGTCCACGTTCAGCTCTTCACTCTGACTAGACCTGGTGGAGTGATTGTATCAAAAGGGCAATGTTCTTGGGGAAGAATAGGAAAAGCAAGAGATGGCAGTAAGAGGAACTGAGATGCTGAGGTAAACCTGAGGCGTTTGCCAGCAGTGAACATTGCCTTTTAGCAGCACACACACCATGAGCAAGATCCTTACTAAAGAGATGCAACAACATAAATTACAGTTGCTATGCTATATTGGAAGCTTTGTACTGTTTCAAACTTCTGATTGTCATCTTAAGAGTGAGGTTTAGATCAGGTACTGCCCAAAACCAGGTTGAAAATAAGCACGTGCGAGAATGCTAATAAGCTTGTGTAATAACAAAAGCGGATGCTGGGAGGGAAGCGAGTGGCTGTGGGGGGAGCTGGGTTTCCCAAGCCTGTGACAGGTAACTCACGCAGCTGTGTACATCACCAGGTCTCTCATACCAAAGAGCCATTTGATGCACACCCAGATACACATTCGGACAGGTATTTCAGATATTCGTTAATTATGCATGCCCCATAAAGGAAAACAACTGTACAACTCTAAACATTTGTTTGTATCGTTGACATACGAGAGAAAAGCATACTTAATTTGCCTGGGGTGCCATGCAGTTTAAAAGTATTAATTAGAACTATGATCCTCATTTGCCCATAAGCTCATGAGTGTAATTTTAAACTCACAGCTCAGTTAAACAAATACTTTCAAATGTGTCTACAATAAAACCATTCCACAGAGCTAGGCTCATGGCACCGTATCTTGTTTAAAATTAATCCACTCAGCAGAAAGTTTCAGAGTCAGATTTGGCCAGGGAAATAGAGAAAAAGACCAAACTATAACATGGGAAAGAAAACACCAGGTAAGAAAGAAAAGGCAGAAATGGATGAGAAAATACCAGGCCAGGCTGAAACTATTTAAGGGCAACGGTGATGACAGATGCTTTCTGGAGTGTCTACGGGAACCAGATCGCGTTGGATGTAGAAAGCACATTAAAGTCGAAGCAGAGACTCGGGCTCCCTTTTGCTGATTCTTATTTGACAGTGAAAAACTCTGGCAGAGTGGTGAAACAGAGGGCTAAGGGCTTTAATGCCTGGAAACACCACAGTTCACCAAAGGACATCTCTCAGCACACTGAGATACTGCTTTAGGCCTTTTTATTTCAACAATATAAAGTGTGGCTACGGTAATGTCTCGGGGGTTCAGGTGATCCTTATCTTTGCTGAGCTACAGACTTGTGCCTTATCTTAGCAGCCCTTTGATGGAATTATAATAATTGTAATTCACATTCGTCTATCACTCTGGATCTTAATGGATGCCTAATGGATGACTGGCCTGAGGATCAATAGTATCACGTCTTGTCTACTTGGGATGAGAGAACTGGATGTTAAAATAAATACTTTTACTATGCTAAAGATGCAGAAATAATGAGCAGATCAATACAAACAAAGTTTACCCGTAGGTGAGAAGGCCCCGCACGCAGCACGGAGGGGACCCGATTGTTCTGCAGATGCAGCCTACTTTACAAGTACATGCGTCTGCATGCTTTTTAAGTAGCATAATAAATCACACAACATTTTCCACAACTAAATTCTTCCTAATCTAACCAGACAATTCTTAAACCTTTAATGGGCCTATGATTGTAAAATCATTTTGTCTGGGTTTTGAGCAGTAATCTTCAAATTACGGGTCTGTAACAGCAATAATGGAATGTGTCATAAAAGAGTTTTTCCTCAGTGAGTCTATTATTGTAATAAAATAATGTATCTAGTCACCTCTATATTCCACATTAACCCTTTTTATGATAATTATGAGTAAAGTGCATCTCTCATTTCCATTAAATAATATCCTTGCATCTCACTGAAACAGTAGACTATATAGGACTGAAAGCAAAGCAACAGATGCACATCCTTCTTTAGCAGATTCTATCCATGCCACTAACTTGTTGTTAAGATAAAACCCACTCAGTTTAGAATTATTCTTATACTTTGGTGTTCAAGTAAGACTAACTGAAAATTCTGAGTCCTGATTTTCAGTCACATACTTTTGTGTTCACAGAAATATATGTACAAATTAGAAAATTATATATGAAGTTACATATACATATGCTCCAGCAGAACCCATTCTAGGTGCTTTACTTCAGGATGATTTACAGA